TGAACAATGCCCTTATCTTTTAGAAATTACATTAGTATGAGGTTAAGCACTTATAACTTATACTCTTGAGTTAAGCACCAAGATATTAGAGAAGAAAAGAAGCCCTGAGGTGGCAAAGAATCGATCTTTACCACCAAAGGGGAGGGAGAAAGACAGGTAAATCGATTATAAGACAATTATAACACAATGTGATAAATATTATAGAAGTGGTAAGTGGCAGAAGAGAGAAAACTGAGAGGAGTTTGGAGAAGTAATATTTGACTAAAAGTTAAATGGGAGTCTTCCAGACAAAAGAGAAACCTGTAAGTGCAAAGGCATAAAGAATGTATGTATGTTTGTAGGAAAGAAAGTTAGTAGCAGGAGGAGACAAAGTGGGATAGGTAAGTTATGGGCAGGCCTTGACCTTGCTACAAAGAGGAAAGATATAACCATCTATGTAATCGGTCACCCGAACAAACATTTATTAAGTACCAACTGCAAGCCAGGAACTGTGCTCCATGCTGGAGATATAATAGATAATAAAAGAGGCAGAACCTGTCTTTGGGCAGCTTACACATTTGTGGAGAGATAAGACAATAATCAAATGGTGTGAACAAAAGTTCAGGATGCTCATGGGCCTGGAGTGAGGGGACCTGTCGACAGGATAAGCTTCCCTGAGGTGTAGGCTCTGAGCAGAAAGCTGAAGGAGGCATAGGAGAAGGGGAGGACTAGTGTTCTAACATGGGCAGAGGCCCCAAGATGAGTAAGAGAATGGAGCTTTGATAGAAAGGAATTAAGTCTGCTGTGGCTGGAAGAAGAAAGAAGGAAAAAGTGGTACAAGATGAGGTTGGAGAGGCATCTACCTCTGAGGTCTTGATCTTCATCCTAGAAGCTTTGGGGGAAATCCTGAAAGGCTGCAGAAGTGCACAAGATCAGACCTGTGACTTTAAGGGATTACATCAACTGAAGTGCTGACAGCAAGCGACGCATTGGCCAGAGCGGATGCAACAAAGCCAGCTAGGGGGCTGCTGCAGTTGTCCAGCTGAGGCGGGAGCATGGACTAGTTGGCAGCAACAGAGAAAGAGAATGGCTAAGTTGTGAACATCAAAGGACATGTTCAGGTAAAGGTTAACTGTCATGAGAAGTAGGAAGGATAAGAAAGATGGTGCTTTCACATCAAATGTTCTTTCATAGAGGGATGGATACTTAGCACAGCTATTCTTTTAAAGAGTGAATGACATAACATTAGTATCATTAGCATCATCCTGCCTCCTGTCAAACAGCTGCACCTCTTATCTTACCACAAAGGAGCCTGGCATTCATTCTGTTGGTGGTCACTGAAGGGTCCATGAGGCAAATAAAGGCTTCTCATTGTTAGGGGTTGTATAGTTAAGTAAGCCAAGTCAAAGGCAAATGACAAACTGAGAAAAATCATTTGTAACATGTATAACATACCGAGTATTAATATCCTTAAGGAGCTCTTATAAACCAATAGAAATATGAACTTAAACTAGAAATACTATAAAGAAATTGAAGTTTGCAAATATGTACATCATCAGTACGTTCACTGCACCATGGTTTACAACACTGAAAATACTAGATGCGACCTAAATGTTCAACCAATAAATGAGATTATGGACACTTAGTGGAATATTATGCAGTCCTTAAAAATGGTGATGTGGACCCTGAACAACCAAAACAATCCTGAAAAATAAACACTAAATTGGAAGACTCGTAATTCCTAATTCTAAAACTTACTACAAAGCTATGATAATCAACATATGGTGCTACTGGCATAAATACAGACATACAGACCAATGGAATAGAATGGAGAACCCAGAAATAAACCCTCACATTTATGATCGAATGATTTTCAATAAGAATGCCAAGACCATTCAGTGAGGGAAAAGACAGGCTTTTCAACAAATGATGTTGAGAAAACTGGATATTCACCTATAAAAGAATGAAGTTGGACCCTTACCTTAAACCATATATAAAAATTAACTAGAAATGGATCAAAGACCAAAATTTAAGAGCCAAATCTATAAAACTCTCAGAAGAAAAAGTAGAAAAGAGTTTCATAACATTGGATTCAGCAGTGATTTCTTGGCTATGACATAAAAAGCATAGGCAACAAAAGAAGAAATAGATAAACTGGCTACATCAAAATTAAAAACATCTGTGTGTCAAAGGACACTATCAAGATATTGAAAATGAAAGGAATATTTCCAAATCATATATCCGATAAGAAATTAATATCCAGAATATATAAAGAACTCCCACAATTCAAAAACAAACAAACAGAGAAAAAAAAACAACCAAATTAAAAAATGGGCAAAGGACATTTCTCTAAAGATATATAAATAGCCATTAAGCACATGAAAAGATGCTCAACATCACTACTCGATAGGGAAATACAAATCAAAACCACAATGAGATACTACTTCACATCTATTAGGATGGCTATAATCAAAATAAGAAGAAAATAAGTGTTAGCCAGGTTGTGAAGAAATTGGAATCCTATGCAATTCCTCAAAAAAGAATAAAAAATAAATAAAAATTAAACAAAAAATTACCAAATGATCCAGAAATTCCACCTTTAGGTTAGGTATCTACTCAAAGAATTGAAAGCAAGGCCTCGACCAGATATTTGTATCACAATGTTCACAGCAGCATTATTCACAATAGTCAAAGGTGGAAACCACCTAATTACTCAACTACTTCATTGACAGATGAATGAATAAACAAAATGTGATATATATATTATTATATACACAGTCTTCCACTGCTAAACAACAGAGCTACATTCTGAGAAATGTGTCCTTAGGTGATTTCCTCACTGTGTGAACACCGCAGTGTACTTACACAAACCTATATGGTACAGCCTACTACTGTAATTGTATGTGCTATACTTTCATACGACTGGCAGCACAGTAGGTCTGTTTACACCAGCATTACCACAGATATGTGAGTAATGTGTTGAGCTAAGACATTAAAGTGGCTAGTACATCATTAGGTGATAGGAATTTTTCAGTTCCATTATAATCTATGGGACAACTGTCCTATATATGGTCCATCGTTGACCAAAACGTCATTATGAGGTACATGACTGTACATTTATATGTTAAATACGTATTTATTTATTTTTGTTTATTTACCAGTAATTACTAAATATATAAATAACAGGGGGTGCCAGGGACTGGGGAAAGGAGTAATGAGTAGTTATTATTTGATGGGTAGAGCTTCATTTTGGACTAGTGAGAAAATCCTGTAGCTGGATAGTGGTGACAGTTGCACAAAAATGTGAATGTACTTAATGCCACTAAGTTATACACTTGAAAACAGTTAAAATGGTAAATTTTATGTTATGCATAGTTTATCACAATAAAACAAAGTTTTTTAAAGTGGTGATGTATGTATTTTAAAGAACTTCTATATTGTGTAAGGAGGAAAAAAATAGGTTTCATAATTATTTGTACAGTAAGATCACTTTTCTGTTCAAAAACAAACTTCTTGCCAACATGAGTCCAAGAAAGGCTTTGGTTTTTATCTTGGGGCCAGTATTGTGTTCCCTACCTGTGAGAGAGGCTGGGAAATTGAGTTTTTAGCTTTCCTCACTTAGTAGAGAGGAAAGCTAGTTGAGGATGGGGTACGGACCAAGCCACTACCACACGCCAGAGATGGAGGTCGTAGAATCTCCTCTGTTCCTTTTCCTTTTGTATACGTTAGAAAGTGAGACTAGCCAGATCTGCTCGCATACAAAGAATGAAAGTTCCTACGGCTTTTCTTGAGATTTATACTACTACTAAGCAAAAAAAAAAAGAAAAAAAAGAAATTATCATCTAATACAACATTGTTTGGACTAAAAATTCCATTTGTTCAAGGCTTTCAGTTTGAGTAAAATTAATGTCTGCCTACTTATCAGCTGTGCTGAGTAAACACTTCAGATCAAGTAAGCCTTCAAAGGCAGGTACTTAACTCAATTCTTTTCCTAAAGAGATGTTGCATTAGCATAATCTAGTTCACAGCAGTCCAGCACTGTCCTCTGAGGATTAACACGGGGTTCACTGTATTTGTACCACAAAGAGTGCTATGAATGCTGACTTAGTTAAAAAAAAAAAAAAAAATTAAAACACAAAAAAGACAGACTGGAAAGAACAGTGGGCTGGGAGTCAGAAGAGCTGGGTCTGAGGTCAGGTTCTGTCACTTGCCACCAGAGTACTCTGTCATTCAGCGCATCACCAAGCCACTACCTGTATATCAGGCACTGGGCTAAGTACTGGGGGGAAAGGGGAAGATGAAAATGTCAAATAAACAAGAAAGTCTCCATTCTCAAGAAGATGATCTTTTATTTGGACGAGCCCTTTCATCTTGCAGATCCTCAGCTCCTTCACCTGTAATTCAAAGGCATTACCATTCTCGAAGTGTTATGAGGAAATATGGCAGGATATTCTGACCTTAGTGACCCTGACGTTTTGAGTCAGATAATGCCCTGCTATGGGGGGCGGGGCAGGGAAGGCAGGCCCATGCACTGTAGGATATTTAGCAGAATCCCTGGCCTCTACTCACTTGATGCCAGTAGCTCCTCCTCACTGCTCTCACCCCAGTTATGACAACCAAAAGTGTCTACAAACATTAGCAAATGTCCCCTGTGGCAAAATCACCCCTAGCTGAGAACCTCTGAAATAGGGTGATGTATGAAAGCATTTAAAAATAGCATAAAGATCCAAATCCAGTCAGTATTAATGTAAATCTATTTTTAAGATTACTTGTCAAAAACAAAATCCTTTAAAAAGTTTGGTTTCCTTAGGAATGTTTTTATTTTCTATTTATATATATACATTTTGCCTATCATTAAAAGCCTTTTGGGGCTTTTTGGTTAATTTTCTTTACCCAAACAAAGCATCTTCATCAGAACATATTTTTAAAGTTCATCACTGTACTAACATGACAGAGTCAAACATAACTGCCATCGCTACAGAGCAGACATTTTATCCAAAATCAAAGTTCTCTGTGCCTACCTTTTAAGGACAAGGGGCTGGATCTTGTGAATTCTGCATTTGTCGGTCTGTGGTGTTTACGAACTTCCAAGTACTCCTTAACTCTTGAATCAATGGTTTCTTTTAACAGTAAACAGACTTCCTAAAGTAAATTAAAATAATTAGAGATAATTTTCTGATTTAATGCAATACAAAAAAAAGTCAACATCACGCATATTAAAAAAATCAACGGTAAACATTTCGTTTGCTTTTTTAATTAGCTGTGAATGCCAAAAGGAATGTTATATGTGCTCATGGATAACACTGAAGATTTAAATCTGCTACTTCGGTTTGTTCGAAACTATGATGTTGGTTCACTTTGTGATCTAAGAAATTCATTTAATTTCTCTCTGCCTCAGTTTCACATTTCTAAAAGGAAGATAAAAACACCTCAATGTAAAACTTAGGGTGACAAGGTGATGAAATCAGTGGGGTAAAGACTTTTCACATAAATATCAGTTGTATTGTGACATATAGAAAAATCAAATAGAGCCATCACTGGCTGGTAGCAAGAGCCCAAGGAAAGAGCACAGTGGCCAAGCAGGGGACTGTGGAGGCAGGTAAGAGTCAGGACCCAGGGTGTATTCAGAGAACCCTGACACCAACCCCATTAATGAAGGGGGGACAGCATCCCATGGTTTCATGTAGGGACACAAGGCACGGTGTGACCAGATCTTCCAATTTGTTCAAGAGGAGCCAGAAACAGTGATTTTTATACAAAAATTTCCCATTTTTCAAATTTGGGTCAGAAAACTTTTAAAATCGAAACACTATCATTCATTAGTTTCTGGCCTTAGGTTTACAGATCTACTAAAAAAAAAGGAACAACTTTGAGTAGGGGGTTGAACAGAGAGCTGGAAACCAGTAATCTGATTTTCTTCCACGCTCTTGTTGACGATACTGTGCATGCCCATTTGCTTTTGTGAAATCTGCACACTATATTCACCTATTAATGATGAAAAGAATTTAACTTCTCATATTTCACTAAAGTAGATTAATATTTATTAGGCAACAGAAACACATGGTTTTAATTCAATGTCAATATACCATACCACTAGCAAATTTCTGGAGCTGTCTATTGTTTTATGTATCAGTGTTATTTATAAAAAGAAAAACAAAACTTTAAAAGTCTAACTATGTATTGGGAAGACACAGTCCATTTTAGCTATACTACCAGAAAAATGTAACCTAAAGTAGGAAAAGGAAAAAAAACTGCACACAAATCCTAATTTCTTAGATTTAGAACTGATGCATAAGGACTAATAATTCTGGTTGAATTCCCAAAGAGTCTGAAGAAGGCTCAGAGTTGCAGAGGTCAGCTCAAACCTGTTTCACTGGTTTCTTGCAATGCCATCTCAGGTTGATCTCTTAAAATCTTCATAAATTGAAATGAGAAAAAGTTTTAAGCTGCTTCAGCGGGCAATGAGAGCCAAACTTTTCATTACTATTATTATAAACACATGTACTCAAACAGTATAGAAAACCCTTGATTTAACTTACAAAATGTGAGTTTGTAGATAAAACACAAATACTGGTCCCCTCTCTCCTGCTCTCATTTTGCAGCCCAAAGATGCAGTGCCTTGTGGAATACAGAGATATCCGTTTACAGTTGAGTGTTTTGGCATTGTTCACACAACAGAAAGGCAGCCTTGCCTCATACTGTTGTTTTAACAATTAAAGAATTTTGCTTCACATGCAGGGTTCAGCTATGACTGAGCCTGAAAATATGTGAAAGACATACATGGAAACAAAGATTGTTAAAATTTGGCCATAAATGCCCTATAAGGCTAGAACTAAAAATAGCACTACAAAAATAAAGCAAAGGCCCATATACATAAACTTTCTCCCTATAGTTACGGGGCTTTCCTTTGATGAGTCAGGTTTGACAAACGGAAGGTAGACCAAGTGCTATGTGGTCAAGATATCCTAGTAACTGACCACACCGCACTCAGCAAAGCATTCTCTTCAGAACCAGAGCAATGCACGAAAAGACAAATTCCCAGATAACTTGGAGGAAATGACAAGACCAAATTAAAATCAATGAGCAAGAGAGATACATATAGAATCTCTAAGCTAACGGGCTAAATTTGCTTCCTCAAGTTTACAAAGGAACAGTTTGAGTTTGACTGTTTGGGTACACAGACTATTTGTGCTGGACTCAAAATAAACATATGTTTAATACATGTAATTAGTTCCTTTTTCTGAAAAGGAACTGGATATTCTTGAGACATTTATTATATAAAGTGACTGTTAAAATGCAATCAAACTGATTGCTCATGAAATTTCAATCATGAGATAATCTAATGATAAAAAAAGATGAAAGCATTGAGACACTGAACATAGGCTATAGTCATATACTTTCCTTGACTAGCTTTTCTCCTCTCTCTTTCTCTCTCTCTTTCACTCTCTCTCTCTCTCTCACACATACACACTAACCCAGAGCAATTTTAATGTCAGTGAGCATACTTTAAAAGAACAACTTAAAGTAGAAGCAGCAAACCATCTGCTCTGAGAGCAAAGCAGCAAACAGAGCTTTGAGAGCAAAGCTCAACTTGCTGGCACGACCTGCCTTGTTGCAGCTGCCACTGCAACAGAGCTCTGCAGGTCCAATCGTGCACTGGGCATCTTTGCTAAGTCATGCCCTGCTGCCCGGATATAGGTACTAGGTGGAGCAGCCCAGCTGCGTGTGGCACCCTGGAAAATTCTTGCCTCACGCTTTGGCTAGGAGGTGATTCACATACTCATAGCTTTGTTTTAAAGCCTTCCAAATAAACTAACTCAGCAAAAATGACTAAATATCAACAAGAAAGGTCTAAGGTTGAGGTTGTACAGCTGGGAAATAATGGAAGAAAATGTGGATTCTAGAACACTGTTAATCTAAGTCAAGTCAGAAGCCTTTAGGGTGAGGTTCCCCTCAGGCGAATATTAGTCACTCTGAAGAAATGAACTGTTTTGTATTGTGGGGACAGGTGTTATAAAGCCAAAGCTCGGAATTATGTGGAAGTGAGTTGTAGTAGGAGATGCTGGCCTGCTAAATATTAAGTCTTAAAAGCACAGTCCATGGTTATTTACCTGAATGATAAATCCTACCATAACAAATCTTGTGCTTTCCTGCTCACAGTTTCGGGCCACCAAGTATCCTTTGTGAAATTATGACAGCAAAGTCCAGATAATTTTACCTTTTGATTGGAAATGTAGTACCCTATAAATTTTCTTTTAGGGAGATTTTTTTTCTACTGATCTCCAAAAGCTGACTGAAAAGTTATTACAGCATAGGTTTTTTTTTTTTTCCTTTGTGTGTGTCACTATCACTAGTGTCTTCTTCATATACCACCCTTTAATAAAACTTTTATTTCTAGCTCTAAGAAGCTATCGTGACAAATGAATATCGTGGATATATGAAGTGCTATAATATTTTGAAAGTTATCTAAAAGCCTCTGCCTCACTATCTCTGTTTTCTAGTAAACAGGGACCTGGAGAAGGAAGCAAAGCATGTGTTGAGAGCTGATGCACCTCTAGCCCTCTGCCACAGTAGCACTTGGCTGGGGCTGCAGACACTGGGGGCCAGGAGTGTCTCAGACAGCCTCTGAGAGAAGCCCTTCACTTGCAGACGAGGAGGCCAAAGCCCATGGAGGTCAAACACCATGCTCCCAGTCAACCGGCTAGTCACTTTACTGACAATTCACTTGGTGACTGAGAGCTGTCAGAGAAAGAACATGTCAAACGTTTCTGCACTTGTCAAAGGCTCATGCTAATAAAAGGATGGTAGAAGATAAAAAAGTGCCGAAGACTACAATTTCACACAGGTGTGAAAGATTAGCCTGGTGTCAGTCCCCATATCTTCACAACCAGTCAGATTAAAATCCCTGCTTACTTGAAATATCACTTTAACTTCTTTTTTTTTTTTAAATATAGAGTCCACCTTCCCCCAAAACAAAGAGGTAGGAAATTTCTGGTTTAAATAACAGAGTTGCATATGAAATGTATGGATGTTCAGTTTCTGAAGGAAAAAATAAAAGCAGGCTTATGTCTGTCATTGGGAAGACAACAACTAGTTTTCAAGGGTTAATATCACTCAATATTTTGCCTATTAATTAAAATGAAAGCTAGAAAGAGCTAATATGTCTTCTAACAGAAGCTACCTGCATCTAAATAGTGAAAAGTTTTGTGGTACCTCTTTCTTCTGTTCAGAAAACCAGCTGGTATCTTTGTTTGAATCTTGTGGTGATATATGAAGATCCACCAGGACGGCAAAATTCCCACACTGGAAAACATTAATGGCAGAGTTAGCTTACATCCAACAAATAATGAGAGAAAAATCTCATGAATTCCTATGTGGTTGCTCATAATGAAATGGTAACAAAGTTCACTACTAGACAGAAGTATTCTTAGGGGGCCGGGCTACAAGTCATAACCTACTACTCCATCTAATATCTATGGCAGAAATGCTAGGGAGAAATATCATTTTAATCAGGATAGAAAAGACAAAATATTTACCTTGAAGGGGTATGCTCATGCATCCATGGGTAGTTGGAAGACTATCAAACACTGAGAGAAGTAAAATAGGTCAGAACTAGGTAAGCACTGGTTCTGTGGACAGCCAAGGGAATTCTTTCTTCTAAGTAGGACAGATACAGATATATATTTTAGATGGACAAAAGGATTGGCTGGGACAACACATCTTAGAATAGAAACAGAAGCACAAACGAATGAAAAAGAACCAAGGAGAGGAAAGTAGATGCTGAATGACAGTTATCAAAACTAAATAAGTTTCATTAAAATAGCTACAGAACTATCCAAAGCCTGCCTCTCTTCTTATTCCATAGGCTAGTGCTATCCTGCACTTTTGCAAAGATGGAAATAGTCTGTAACTGTACTGTTCAATAGGGTGGCCCATACACATTTGGGGCTACGGAGCACTTGAAATGTGGCAACTGTGACTGAGAAGCTGAATTTTTAATTTCATTTCACTTTAATTTAAGCAGACCTATGTGGCTAGCAGCTCTGTGGCACAGCTACAGACCCTGTAAAAAGTTGTAGCCTTATAAATCCTCACACCTTACAAGCAAAGTAATTTCTGAGAATCTCGGGATAACTGAAGAAGATCTAACTTAGAAAGGAACAGAAGACCAATACTGTAAGTTGATGGTGGTCTAAGAGGCCCAGAGGGTCTGTTTATGGCACACAAGGAAAAGTCACTTTTGCACCTCTTTGGCTGAAAAAAATTTTTTTTCTTTTTAAAATTCCGTGCTATAATTTAATGGGGAAAGGAAAGTATTTTCAACTAACGGTGTAAGAATACCAAATGTAAATATGGAAAGAAAATGAAACTTGACACCTACTTCACTCCATACAGAAATATTAATTTAAGATGGATCATAGAGCTAAACATAAAAACCAAAACTATTTTTCTGACTTTAGGGTAGGAAAAGATTTCTTAGACAGGACCCAGAAGCACTAAATATAGAAGAAAAATGGTTCGATTGGACTTTGTCAAAATTTAAAACTCCTGGTCATCAAAAGACACCATTAATAAAATGAATACGTATGTTGCAGAATGGAAAAAATATTCATAAATACATGTATCTGACATAAAGGACTGACATCCAAAATGCACAAGGAACCCGTACAAATCAATTAAAAAAAACCCGAACAACCTAAACTTGAGCAGACACTTCACAAATAAAATAAACAAATGGCTAATAAACACATGAAAAAAATGTTCAAAATCAGTCATCAGGCAAATGCAAACTAAAACTACCAAGAGATACTACTACATACCTATTAGAATGACCAAAATTGACTAAAAAGATCGACACACCAAATGTCGGTAAGGATGTAGAGCAACCTAAACTCTCACACATCTCTAATGGAAATGTAAAATGGTCACCCATTCTGGCAAATGGTTGGTCAGTTCCCTATAAACATATATGTGTTTACTGACTGAGCCAGCAATTCCACTACCAGGTATTTACTGAGAAAGATAAAACACATGTGCACACAAAGACTTGTAAGCAAATGCTCATGGAAATTTTATTCATAATAGCCCAAACGGAAGAAAACCCAAGTCTACTGACAGGAGTATATTCATTCAATGGAATGCTCCTCACCTCACTACGGAAACACTCAACATGGACTAATATCCTAAACATTATGTTAAGCAAAAGAGACAAGGCTAAACGAATACACACTGCCTGATTTCCATCTATATAAAGTTCTAGAACAGCAACATTAAATCTATGGTCAAAGCAATCGAACACTGATTGCCTGGGGAGGAACTGGCCTAGAACAGGCACAAGTGAGCTTTGTGTGGTGATTGTATATCTTGATGGGGTCTGCGCCTAAGATCAGTTTATTTCACAGTATATAAACAATGCATCAATAACAAACAATTTTTAGTCGCTATGTAAAACTACATTCATATTTGTTGACAGTTATTTAAAATGTAGTGCATCCCTAAAAATATGTGCATTCTTTAGGGGGGTGGGGGGAGTGAGGACCAAAATGAAATTCAATGGGCAATTTGAAAATTGTAAGGTATGAAAAGATGATCTTCTCTGATATAAAAGAGTACAGTGTGACCCATTGAACTGCAGTTTAGTGTGTTGCAACCAGCATTTTATTTTAATGAATGAGAATTAAAGAGAGTATTGGAATGGGATTAAAAAATATCAAGGGTCATGTGGTAAAGCCAAGTATTATTTTGTGAAACTTCTGTATAAGCATCTGAGTTACGATGTAAAGCCTATTTCTTACTGTGGGTTGTGGTCAAAACTGTTTGAAAACCATACTCAAAGATACTGTTATTTTAAAATTTCTTCACAACTGTTGATTATAGATTTAACCATTAAGGAGTATGCTGCCACCAGGTGGAGGTATTTTGTCACAACTACAAGATCTTAGCCAGGGATAATTAACCTTTCCTGTGCCATCCACCTCTTTGGCTAGCTGTGAAGCTGATAAAATCTGCTCAGAATAATGTTTTTAAATGTATGAACCACAATGCATAGGATTCCAAAGAAAAACAATTTTACTTAAGTATGGTTATCCAAATTTTAAAAAAAATTAATTTGTGATATAGTAACATATGCACTTGTTTATTAAAGCACTGGCTCTTGTCACATAGAGATAGATTTAATAACTACTATAAATCCAAAGCAGTGATAAGCAAAAATGATATCTTCAGAATGTGCCATAACTATATTAGAAGACCTATGCTTTCTAACGATGACAAATATTACTAATACTATTGTTCTGACTATTTAATTCATAATAAAAACTACGTTTATTAAAATTTAATCAAAATAAAGATGTTAACTTTTTCCCCCCCACCCAAGTTCACCAACCGCGTGAGTTCTATCCCGGGCCCCTCCACGGATTGGCCAAGAGCCGCTCTGAAGCCGGGAGATGCACCTCACACATTTTACTGGGTTTCCTGTATGTGTTCTACCCGGACTCTTTAGTCAAACCAAGTTCTCTGCCACCCCTTCTTCATTAGTAAAATTAATTTTTAAATGCTTTAAAAAAAGGAAGAAAAAAAGAAATAGTGATGCTTCAACAATCTGAACTGATACTATATAATCGTAACTTTCTAAAAACTTAAATAGCAAGGTCCCATTTGGTATTTTCTCATCATTTTGTTACTTTGATCACGAATAACGTAGTGTAAGTTTGATTACAAACAGATTAATTAGAACGTCTTTTTTTTTTTTTTTTTTTGTTTGGTGCTCAAACTTTCCCGGGATTTCTGCCAGACTCCACTGCGGTGCACGCATGCGGTCCCCTCCCCCACCGCAGGATTCTCCCTCCTCAGCCAGCAGTTGTGAGTTCTTCAGCAAGAGCTCTCTCAAACTCCCACACTAATCAGAGGTATTTTGCCTTTCTAAAGTTCCTTGCTCGCAAGCCTTTGCTGCCTCTTTTCTCTCAGGAGTAAACAGAAGTTAAAAAAAAAAAAAAAAAAGCTTCTTACTGCTGCCAGCAGCACAGCCTCCACTTCTCCTTAATTAGGAGGAGGTTATTTCTACTCAGCAGATAAACTCTCCAGCTCTCTTCTGAGAGGAGCAATACACTAACCATCATTTCTTTCTCAGTCCAAAGCTGCTCGTTTTATACAGGCCAGTTACCTCTTTAAGAGCCCAAAGGCTACCAGAAAAAGCTGCACATCCCATGCCCTGGGCTATGAGTCTAAAGGCCAGGGTCTGGTCCAGTTTCTAGCCCCCTCCACCCATATAAGTTTCTGCCAAAAACCTGGGAATAGACCCTAACTCCTCCCTTTCTCTAACTCTCCATAATCAGTCACCATGTCTCCTAGATTTCACCTCTTAAAGAGGTAAACACGCCCCTCCTCTCTGGTTCCGCAGCTCATATCATCTCCCACTTGGAACACTGGGGCTCCTTCTCGTGGTGTCCTGGATGAACTCATGATGCCCCAACCAGAGCAATTTCAAACATAAAACGGGAGCAGTGCACTCCTGCTGCGGCTCTGAGGATAACACGAAGCTTCTGAAGAGGCCCTGCACACCCACCATCTCCCACTGCTCCTGGGCACCTGCTGTTTTTGACCTTTGCTTCCAGTGCACCTCAGTGCTCCTGTGCTTAGTGAACTCCTATGCATCCTTGAACCCTAGCAGGAGCATGGGCACCTCTGTGGAGCTTTTCTGAACAGTCTGTCACCTTCTGCTCTGCATCAGGCACATGCTTCATGTGCTTATTTATTTCTGCATTAGATGGCTGGTCCACATAGGACCTTCCCCTGCCTGGCTGTTAGGTCCCTGGAAGAGAGAGGGTCCATATCTCAGCTCTGTACATGACTCTGTACCCCAAGGATTAGCACAGTACCAGAGCACAATAAGTGCTGAATACTTAATGAAATGAAGAAAGGAATGAATGAACGAATGACAGGACAAAGGAGCTCTGAGTTTTGGGCAAACTACAGCCTTATCTGCAAACTGAGCGTTCTGAGCCCATTTGGGGGACAAGGCCATTCTGATTCAGCCTGGGACACTGACGTGTCATAGAACAACCTCCTCCTTCCTATTCTGGAGTGGCGACAACTATGTCATGACCAGTGACAACCAGTCATTTTCCACATTTTGAAAAAAAGGAATAATACAAGGATCCTAGGATGACCTCACCCTAAACTCAATGCCAACCAAGCGTGTTGGTGATTTTTCCTACCTCTTTCCTAAGAATTCCAAAGCTGCAACTTAACTTGAACTATTACCAAGTCTTTAGAGGTGGGAGGTCTTGTTTTCTAATTTTACA